ACGACTTCGGTTTATAAGAGCTAAGTAGAAAACCTGTTTGCCGTATTTGTAAAGTAGAAAACCTGTTTGCCGTACAGGTCGGTGCGCGCCCGCAAAACTGTCACACTCTCCCTCTTTCAACACGTAAAAATATACAGCGATACTACACACCAAAACATCTAATAAGATATACTTATTATATAATCACACGAGCATTTTACTGGAAAATACACCATTCATAAAATTCATACGAAACCACATCCGGGACTCGAGTGGCGTATTTTCCATATCCTCACTAGTGAAGATATCAATGATTTCACTGACATCAAGTTTGTCTCCTAAATTGTACTTAAATTCGTTGGCGTATCATCGAAACATCTTCGGGTCTTCCTCGAAAGTCTTCGGCAATATTCGGTAATCTTCGGAAATCTTCGGAAAATGTTCAGCAACGTTCGTGTGACCTAGAATGCACTAAGCCTGTGATTCTCGAAAGAGCTGTTGCTTAGCAACATAAAGGTTGACGTAGCAACTTTGCGTACACGTGCTATTTTTCTGATTGGATAACAGTGAAAATCATGAAGTCTTCAGGTACCAAAACGACGTTTAGGTGACTGCACGGAGCTTGCTAAGGACGCCCCATTCAAGACAAGCTCGACACTACATGTGAATTAAAATGTCGTAATCATTTAAAGGTAATATAAAAGGCATTTCTTTAAGAGCAAGCTACTTTAATTGCCCAGACCTCCACCCCCCCAATTAATAATGGTCCGTCTCTAAACCATCTCCGTACGCAGCTATTGGATATTATTTTTAGATGTCGAACAATCTATAACACAAAATTGGAATTTTTTTCTTAGAGGAGGATAGAGAGGGGATTGTGGCCCTTTTCACGTGTTCTACTCGAAGGAGACCCTTCTCATCTCATTTGAGATGGAATCTCGGAGCACGCAAGAAGATTTTCAGGAGAGTGACGATGGAAACAATAATGGAAATGATTAAAAAGAGTCTGTCCAAAACACGCGCTGCCTTTATCCACTCCTTTTGATTCTTCATCTTCTCTTCAGAACAGTCCAGGACATTACCTCTAAAAGGCAATGAATCCGTTGTCAGTTGTCTGTTGAGCAGTTTTGTTGATGAAAGCCTCTTCTTTCCATTGTGACCGCAATTTTTGTGTCGGGTCTGACCGTCTCTGTTCTTTTTTGACCGGTGCTTTGTGAGACCCCTGTTATTGTAACAGTCGTTTTTGCAGGAGACCCCGAGATCACAGAATGAGTGGTTTCCACGGCTACCGTCGCGTACGTCCCCAGACTCCTGCATAGCCCATTTATGCTCGTGCGGGTCACGCCGCGCGCTTTTCTCCTTTGAGCGGTAAAAGGCGCTTTCACAAGATGCTGCATCGCTGCTGCTAAGATACCCCTTGGCTTCCAAATCTATGAAGTTTGTGGCCATCCGTCGCATAGCGGTGCTTCTTCGATGAATTTCGCTCCAATCCTTCGGTTTTTGACAAGGAAACAACAAACGCGCAAGCCACCGCAGAATCACTTTTCTCGTGGTCTTGGGCATTCTTCGTCTGTTGCGATGATAAAAGTTTAAAATAAGCGTCGTAACTGCTAGAGAAGCCCCGATTTCTAACATGATTGCAAAGTAGAACTGCCCAAGCAGAGGAAAACCGTATGATGGCATAAGCTCGGAACTAAGTTGTTGAAACACCGTCATGGCCAAAAGAACTGTGATACTCAGTCCAATGCGTTCACCGGACTCGGGTGGAAGAACAAACCCTAAAAATATCATGGAAGAGATCAGCGAGCATGGAATAATCAACTTCAGGATGTAATCTAGTGATTCCCTTCGGATGTTTATTCGTACCGTTATGTCCACAAACTCGTGGGGACAGCACTGATATTTTTGCGCGTTTCTTTTCGCCGACAAATTCAAAAGTTTCCATTCGCCATTGTTAACGTAGTATCTGTTGAGTGCAATGATGTTTTTGGCAACCAGATCGATCTTAAATTTATCGGAAGTCCAAGAGCCAAATTTGAGCGAACATTCCTGGTCATCGAAAGGGAAGTTTGTGACGTCCACATCACAGATGCTCTTAAACATAGCGGGGTTTAACCACGTGTTGTTTCCATCGTATTTCACTGCTACGCTGGTTGTATATGTGGCCCTGCCACCTCCATTGCGTTTTTCCTTGTCGATACTATAACGAGAACAGAGGAAAGAAAGAAAACTCCGATTAACAGAGTCTCTGCACCTGAAGTTCATCCGCCACCGATTCGAGCGGCTGTTTGTTCAGTTATTGTGGTTCGACGAAGCGCGATAGCAGTGTAAGTTCTATCAGTGCGCCCCTCCGTCCGTCGGTTGGTCGGTTCGTCCGTCTGTCTGTCGGTCAGCCAGTCAGGCATTACGACCATGCCTTAGTCAGTCAGTCACGCAGCAGGCTTACCCGTCGGGTAGTCGATCAGTTAGTTAGTTCGTCAATTCGTCAGTCCATCAGTCCGTCAGTCCGTCATTCCGTCAGTCCGTCATTCCGTCAGTCCGTTGGTCCGTCTGTCAGTTAGTCAGTCTGTCCGTCAGTTAGTCAGTCAGTCAATCAGACAGTCAGTCAGCCAGTTCATCAGTTAGTAAAAAAGTCAGTCAGTCAGTCAGTCTACCAGTTAGTAAGTCAGTCAATCAGTCTGTCAGTCAGCCAGTCAATCAGTTAATTAATCAAGCTACCCTCTCGTAATATCAAAACAGAAATCGCATATGTCACGATAAATAAGAACACTCAAATCACCAAGAAGTGTCCTGATATTTAAATAAAATCTCCCAACTAGTGTCAGCTAGGGGCATGAAAAAATGCATGGATAGGAAAGAGAATTTGCATGTTGGCATAGGTGTTCAGCAGTTTTACACATCAAGACTCTTTACGCACTCGCAGAGTATTAAAAAAGCAAATAACTTACTTGTTGTACAAGAGTATGTCTGGTACCCAGATGTCTTCAGGAGAAATGTGAATTTCCTTGACTCCCCCATAATCTTTTGGGTTCCATTTCAGCAGATTGTTCTTCCAATACTAAAGAAAGATTCACATCGATTAGGTTCTGTCGTTCCATCTTACATCTCAGTTCTAAAATGTGTTTGAATGAGCTGTCTTACACATTTTTGCAATATTTACAGTTATTAAATACTGCGAGCATTGCATGGCTGAATAATGGAATATAACAATTAAAAAAATCATTGAATGCAATGTCAGCTTTAATGATCTTTATAAATCGATTAAAAGATTGTAAAGTGTTACATTTAATACTGGAATCCTATATGTATTTTTGATGGGCTTTTAAATGCTTATGCATCTGTAATTAATCCATCGGCTCTTACCAATGTCGATCGTTGTTAAAGAGAACAAAGTATTATTCTTAGCATCCTAGTTGCTATCAGAAGATCTTCTGAGATTTTGTGTTCGTATTAATTCAATGAATCCCCTTCAGTTCGGGTTGTAACCAAAAACATCTTAGCGTTAAATTAGTTCAAAAGATGTCTGCCGTCTTAGATCAAGCCCAGTTCTTGACTGTAGTTTTATTGGTTGCCACACAATCAAATGTGGGAGTGTGGAGCATAATTCAAGGTTGTTTTAACTTCTCAAGACTATAAAAGAGGAAATGAGTTTCCTACCAAGTATTTAAAATGTGGGCCTTCATTAGGTCTCAAGTTTGAAGTGATTCTGTCAACAACTAGTCTAAACTCTAACAAAACCTCAAACATGAATAGTTTTAACAGGCCAGCGGTGGCCGAAACGACCGCAGCATGTAGCGACTGTAAGTATGGCTACCAATAGGCGGGGGTGGGAGGGGGGGGAGTGGAGGAATGACACTCCATTGCAAATTACTCTCAAGCGTTTTGTCAGGGTTTCCTAAAAGTTCTCTCGCTAATAACAACAACGATGCACTTGATTGGATAAACGTATACGTGATCCCAGATTGTTCTATCAGAAGCATAGTGACTCTCGGTGACCCTCGCGAGCTCGCAAAACCACTGACTCCGCTCACTTGCTTGAAATCGAAGAGAAACGTTTATGAAAAGTGACTGATAAAATTCAATTGACGCACCTGATTCACCCAAGCATATGTGGTGATGTACTGACTTCTCGCACTCTGTTGATAAGAAAACAAAAGCATGTGCTGTAAGACCTATTTTGTGCATAACGTGGTAAACACAAGTATTATAGCGAGAAAGGTTGTAAAAACTCACCACATCAAGAATATCAATAAGTTGAAAATCGAAGGTGACCGTCACTGGACCTGTTCCGGGTAGTCTTGGGTGCGTGTGTTTGTTGTATCCCTTGAAAAGCTCCTTGAGTAGTCTAGTCTCGTTCATCTCAAGTGCACCTTTTGCTAACAAACAAAGAGATTACAGAGAATAAGTACCAAAGTCTTTTCAACTAAAATCTCGAAAACCTTCTGCGAATCTAGCTATCTCACACTCAAGCAGTTTCGTTTTATTCAAATCCTACTTGGCAAAAGTGGCTTGGACGGCAAAGCTACATTTGATTTTTCCAAAGCGCCGTAAAAGTTCTACACTCTTGAGTGGTTTACAACAAGACGGATCTATCGTCGGTGAATTCACTGCGCTCTTTCTTTTTCTTGCATGCACCAATTTTGTTCTACGGCTGTCTTTCATAGACGGGTTTACAAGACATACCATAATGAAAAGACTCAGTTTCAAACATGATTCAGCTTGTCTGTTTGGTTGATTGTTCCTATCTTCTTCGTGATAAAAATGTTAAGTATTGTCACTAAATATCATTAGAGACCCCAGTCAACAGGAAAAAGGTGTACATTTTTAATTCCAGTAATGTGTTGTACAGCCATCACCGGGCGGAAACAGGGGGCGACTAAGCCACAACAGCTGGCAACGGACTGTGGAAAGAGCGACGCGGGAGGAGTTTAAGAAGAAGCGCGTCGTCGAAAAAGAACATCGAAACCTAAACTTACAGTTTGAACTTTATCGCTTATCATTAGAAGTTCCAAGACTGTCTTGGGAAAACAAACAGTTGTGTTGCACTATTTACAGACTAAGAAACTCGTCCTGTTGTTTTCTTGGCTAAATTTCCAGCTACTCATCAGTTTATCAAAAACGGTTTCTTCCACAGTTTCTTTTAAAGCGTTTGTGGTCTGATGCAGAACGGGTATTCTCTTGATTCCAGGCCGTAGTAGGGACAAAAATAACACAATATCAAACACTCCTGTCACAAATGATCCTGACAAGTGAAACAAAATGGATACACGTACCTGTGGAATGTACGAGGCCAACGAAAAACAGTGTTACATGTAATCTCATTCTGCTCTTTGCTCCCGAAGGAATTTCCTTGGATTTCTTTTCATCGATTCGCGAACATTGTCTCAATCGGAAAGGAAAACATTGAGAAAGATAGTATAGTATATCGTTGGGCTATCTCCAGTCAGTTTCAAACGGTAGGAACAATTACTGTTAAGTGATCGAATGTGAGCTGTTTCACTCTTTGAGTTTTAATCTTGTTATGGTAGCAAAAACGACCATGTTATCATCACCTGAATTAAATTAAATGTTTAAAAATATAAACAAAAAAGGATTGTAAAAAGGTTAAGATTAATTGTTTCAACACATGCATGGGAAATCATGACGTGGTACTGTTTCGCCGTGTTTGTTGTTCTGTTTGCGTTTGGCTCAGATCATTCTTTTCAAGTTGAAGCGTTTTTTAACTTCTCCTCAGAGTTCGACTTACTTTAGCTATGTATATGCTCTGTGCGTATGGAGTTTAAACAGAGATTTTTGGAAAAATGAGAAAAATGTCCAACGCCGATATATTGGCTTGAATCAGTCGATGATAATACCTTAATTTGCCGACTTTATGGCAGAGCTGACAGGCAGTATGTAATGAGAGAGCTGACAGACAGTATTTAATGTGTCTCGTTAGTTTTGATACTATGAAGTGCGAGTTTGGCCGTTGTGCCTTTCCATCACACCTCGCGTGCCCTGAATGACTAGTATCCAATCTCTCCTCTACCGTAGTTTACAACATAGCACTTTTGAGTTCGAGTCTGTGTAGGCTATTTGGTTAATAACGTCTTGGGCCGACATTGATCAATGTGCATACAGTTAGTCTCAGAAATATCAAGCCGGAAGAACGCTATTGTATCCATTTGTTCGTATAGTTTAAATTTTTACAGGAAACTGTTTCACAAGTGTTCAATTTAGTGTACAAGCATTATATTTGAAAATATTGACATTTTATTTACGTATCAGTTTGAGAAAAGAGAACCTTTTTAGATCGGGATCGTGTCTCTAATGAAGAAATGACTATAGACTAAAGCTCTCAACAAAGGTGTTCTAAGCACTGTGAAAGAAATACATAGCGCAAAACTGACGTGGAAACCTTCCAACTGCTCCTACTAACTGATTTGATGATGAAAATCGCAACATTTGGGTTCTTTAACGAGGATTTAAGGTGATTCGCTAGTAAAAGAACCCGCCATAGATTTCCCATGAAACTTGGTATGCTGTTGTCACAGGACAACGAGATATTAAAAACGTAGTAAAAAGAGGGGTCACCGTGCTTGTTTTCACGCTAAAATGCTGACAAGTACGGTTATTTAGGTGACTTGGTAATCTCCGTGCGCAACAAATAAGCTCGATTATTTTTCAATGCAGCGTGTTATATCACACAGAGTTTGACTTTCTTTGATTGTTTATTCATCTATGTCCCAGAAAAAAATGTCCTCAAATACCCTGCATTTTTTTATCCTTTAAAGGAAACATAATTTGGACATGCGCTGTTGGGCCCGTTATGTCTCCCTCTGCAGTATTTATTTCATTTGCCAAAAAGTAGCCATAGATTTGTGCTAATTTTTTTCTCAGTTATTGAGGATATTGTTCTTATTGAAATTATGGAATAACAAATGGGGGTCTCCGTGCTCGTTTAAGAGAAAAGGAGCATTTATTTCGCTATCGAGCTTAGTTTGAGGGAAATCTCTTACGTTTTGTCCGCGCACGGGCTCATGTGCGCGCGCTAGTGACGCAACAATCGTGCGCAGTAGGGATGCGCAATGCAAAAATAAGGAATCACCTTAAGAAACACTGCATGATGCTGTAACGGTCAGAGAAACTGCCTAGCCGCGCCAGTAAGCAACTTTCACTTCCTATCAGAACCAACGTGATGGTATATGTGGTACCGTGAAAAATTAAACTGTATTGCAAAAACTGACACATATATAATCTCGTGGGGTGGTGATGGCTCAAAACAGTTCCCAGAGCTTTCCTAGACGTAGATTTTGATGAGTGATTTATAACCACTCATTATCAGTTGATGCTTCAATCATGGTGCCAAAAAAATGCCCAATCATTGGTGAACAAGTTGTTATCATTTTCGTAGCACAGTATGTTACCATAACAACAGTATGACCACGTTGAGTTTAAACCTGGTTCTGAATCCCATTAATATATATATATTTTTTAATATTTTGCCAAAAGCGGCCTCTTATCCTGCTTATTAAAATTTGATAATGAAAAAAAGGGTTTCTCCTTGCCTTGTTTGAAATATATGCACTAAAAAGTAGAATTAAGGGTCTTGGAAAGTGCTGGAAACTGTTTACAGCCACCTTTAACAAAACTATTTATTTACAGAGCGAGGCAATTAAGGCCATAGGTTATATCGCACTAACCCAATAGGAACTTAGTTTTATAGTAAGCTTAAGTTGTAATCAATAAAAAATGAATTTATGTAGCAACTCTGGTTGCGAAAAAAGTGTATCAGAAATTCTTTCAATGGGTATTTAAGTTAAATACAAATGACAGAAAAGAGCAACTTTCGAAAACAAAAAATTAAGAGATGCTACTAACAATACTAAGAAACCCAGGCCCTCTCTGTGACGTAATATACTGCACCCAGCATGCTTTAATAAATTATAATACAAAACTAGAGCTATTTTTGCATGAAGGGGTTGCCAAAAGATGACGAGCAGTAGATGAGGGCAGAAGAAGGAAATCGTGATGCTGTTGAAATATTGATTTTGACCTGTTTTGTCACCCTCTGTTTCAGAATTCATTCCAACACCTGTTATTCAGTCTTCTCCGCTGAGAAAAGCTTTGCTTGACGATTCATTAGTAAAGAAGAGCGTGACAATAGCTGCAAAGGAGCCTGTTTACAGTTTAGTAGAGTCGAAATCTCGGAGCACGCAGGAAGATTGTCAGGAGAGTAACGATGGAAACAATAATGGAAATGATTAAAAAGAGTCTGTCCAAAACACGCGCTGCCTTTATCCACTCCTTTTGATTCTTAAGCTTCTCTTCAGACCAGTCCAACATGTTGCCTCCAAAAGGCAATGAATCAATGGTCATTTGTTTCAAGAGTTGTGCTGTCGAAGGTCTCTTCTTTCCAGTTCGGTCGACTTTTTTGTCCCGGCTACGTACATTTCCGTTCTTTTTTAGCTTTTTAAGCCAGTCCCTTTTGAGCCCACCGTTGTGGTTGCAATCATTTTTGGGAGAGACCGCATGATTGCAGAACGAGTGGTTCTCAGTTGTACCATTGGTTGTTGAATGCGCATGCGTGTGTGCAGCCCCAGACTCCTGCACGACCCACGTGTCCACGTGCGGGTCACGCCGTGGGCTCGTGTCCTTTGAACACTCGAGGACATCTTCCTCACAAGATGCTGCATCGCTGCTGCTAAGATCGGCCTTAACTTCTAAATCGCTGCACCTCCGTCGCATAGCTGTGCTTCTTCGATGAATTTCGCTCCAATCCTTCGGTTTTTGACAAGGAAACAACAAGCGCGCAAGCCACTGCAGAATTACTTTTCTCATGGTCTTGGGCATTCTTCGCCTGTTGCGATGATAAAAGTTTAGAATAAGCGTCGTAACTGCTAGAGAAGCCCCAATTTCTAACATGATTGCAAAGTAAAACTGCCCAAGCAAAGGAAAACCGTATGATGGCATAAGCTCGGAACTGAGTTGTTGAAACACCGTCATGGCCAAAAGAACTGTGATACTCAGTCCAATGCGTTCACCGGACTCAGGTGGTAGAACAAACCCTAAAAATATCATGGAAGAGATCAGTGAGCATGGAATAATCAACTTTAGGATGTAATCCAGTGATTCCCGTCTGATATGCACATTTATTGACACATCCACAAACTCGTGCGGACAGCACTGATATTTCAGAGCGTTCCTCTTCACAGACAAATTCAGCAGTTGCCATTCGCCATTTTTGATGTAGTAGCTGTTAAGGGTGCTGCCGTTTTTCACTGCTAAATCGATCTTCGATTTATCGAAAGCCCAAGAGCCAAATTTGAGCAGACATTCCTGGTCATCGAAAGGAAAGTTTGTGACATCCACACTACAGATGCTCTTGAACATGGCGGGGTTTAACCACGTGTTGCTTCCATCGTGCTGCACTGCTACATTAGTTGTATACGTGGTCCTACCACCTCCTATACGCTCCTCTTCATCTATGCTGTAAT